TCGAAGAGCCAGAAAGAGCACGAGGAGCATCTGAGGGTAGTTCTCGAAACCCTCAGAAGAGAAAAGTTATATGCCAAATTCTCCAAATGCGAGTTCTGGCTCCAGCGAGTAGCTTTTCTGGGTCATGTGATTACTCAGGCAGGTATCGAGGTGGATCCCTCTAAGGTCTCAGCTGTTCAGAACTAGTCGACACCGAAGAGTCCGTCCGAGGTTCGCAGTTTTCTCGGTTTAGCTGGCTACTATCGCAGGTTCATCGAGGGCTTTTCTAAGATTGTCCTCCCACTATGCCGCTGACGAGGAAGTCTGTGAAGTTCGAGTGGACTGACCGATGTGAGTCGAGCCTCCAGGAGCTCAAGAAGAGATTAACTTCAGCACCGGTGTTGACTATTCCCAATCCTTCTCAGAGTTTCACCATTTTCAGTGATGCTTCGAAGCAGGGACTGGGATGTGTACTCATGCAGGACGGCCAGGTCGTTGCCTATGCTTCACGCCAGCTTAAGCCGCAGGAACAGAACTATCCGACGCACGACTTGGAGTTAGCCGCAGTTGTCCATGCCCTCAAGATTTGGCGACATTATCTTTACGGCGGTCGTTGCGAGAGCCTGCAGTACATTTTCACGCAAAAGGAGCTTAACATGAGACAGCGCCGTTGGCTCGAGATCGTCAAGATTATAATTGCTCGATTCAGTATCATCCGGGAAAGGCGAACGTCGTTGCTGACGCCCTAAGCCGAAAGTTGAGGGGTGACTTGACGTACGTCATTACTCAGCAGAGCCCGCTAATTCAGGAGTTCGCCTGGATGCAGATTCAGGCGGTCGACGCACTTTCCATAGCCATTTCAGGGAGTGTCAGTGCCAGTGTCAATGCCATGCAGATTCAGCCGACGCTGAGAGAGAGAATCCGGCGGGAGCAGGCTTCTGATGAGTTCGTTCGAGTCATGGAGGCCAAAGTCCGCGCCGGAGGCGTCGAGGGTTTTCAGTTAGGTTCAGATGGTGCATTGGAGTTCAGGAACAGGATCGTGGTCCCGAAGGTCGAGGCATTGCGGAAGGAGATATTATCAGAGGCTCATACCGCACCATATTTAGCCCATCCCGGGAGCACGAAGATGTATCATGACATGAAAGAGTCGTTCTGGTGGCGAGGGATGAAGAAGGACGTCGCTGAGTTCGTCAGGAGATGTTTTACCTGTCAGCAAGTCAAAGCCGAGCACCAGAGTCCGATCGGCCTCCTGCAACCACTGCCGATTTCAAGGTGGAAGTGGGAGGAAGTCACGATGGATTTCGTTACGGGATTACCGAGGTTGTCTGAACATCACGACGCTATTTGGGTCGTGGTCGACAGATTGACTAAGGTCGCTCATTTCTTACCCGTTTCAATGAAGATGTCTTTGGATAAGTTGGCTGAGATATATAC